TTCTTGGCAGGGGGTTGGACTGGATGGCCCATGAGGTCTCTTCCAACTCTTTGATTCTATGATTCTAGAAGTTTTATATCTATGTATGACATGAAAATTCATGAAAAAATATTATACATTGTTCACTTACATTCTCTCGCTCCTTCTTTTTCTGTACAAAAGAGTAATTATTTTAATGTCATTCTTTAATTTAAGCCATAATTTATCCTAAACATACATTCCTTCAGCCAAAGCTAGCTACTCTGTTCATAACTCAAGACATATTTTCATCCTTAAAATTAGCAAAGGCCATGTCATAAAGGTGAGCACAAGTTCTCTATTTGTGCTATTGGAAGCAATAATGAAGATTTACAGTTGTTCAATATTGGAAAGGATTTCCCAGAATGCTGACTAACTTAACAGCTTTGGAGTTTATTGATGCAACACTGTTCTGAAAACACTGGTTTATTAATAAATAGATTCATTGGAGTGGAAGGTGGCAAGAGAGCTGGGAGAGAGAGAGAGAGAGAGAGAGAGAGAGAGAGAGAGAGAGAGAGAGATGAGTAAAAGAAGAATAAAAGACATGGAAATGATGAGAGCAGGGTGGCGATAGAAGCGGTACTGTCCTTGGCCAAAGAAATTTGGCTGGGGGATAACTTTAGGACTGACTGATGAAGAAATGGAAGTCTATGCAATGAAAACATTTCTGATAGGAAGAGATGCCGAGGAAGGCTGAACTCAGATGATAGTCTCACTGCCAAATCCACTTTACATTTATGCAGAAGATGAGAAACATTCATCCATGATCAGTGAAGCATACTCTTAACTAAATGAAGAGAGCTTAGCAGGTTCACCCTCACCCAACTTTTCTAAGTTTTTTTTTGTGGTACTCACCAGCAAAATTCTTTGAAACACATGTCAAAGCCAAAAGAAGAAAAAGGTGTTGATGGTCTGGGGAACCTTTTTTTGTAACGAGGAACAATCACTGGTAGAGGCATGTGCAAATTTGCCAAAAAAAGAGCAATGGGATATCCTAGAGAGGTTAGAGGCACTAAATAGCCATCTAAGGGAAATATATATGGAAGGGCTATACCTCAATGAAGCAGGACACACTAATCCAAAGGAATGGCAAAGAGCAGCTCAGAATAGTGAAAAATGGTTGGAGATGAGATTTTTAGACTCTGAGGAGAGATTTGAGCCCTCCATTAAACACCTCCCACTGACCCCAGAGATGAAAGTCGTGAAACCCCAAATTACTAATCCGTGTGTTGCTCATGACAATCCCTGGGAGGCCCTCACGAGTATTGAAGCAGAGGACAAGGGACAAATTTCAAAAGAAGCATGAATGTCAAGTACAAATTGTGGTTTGAAACAGCCCCCAATCACACAGTTCTTTCAACATGTGGTGCCCAGAAATAAAGAGAACATGGTAAAGGAGAACTCTACTCATCCACTCAGAAATAGTGATATTCAGAAACTTAGTTACCAAAGAAGGACAGGAGAGCTATTAAATCTGACAAAGAGACAGCATGATAAGCTAGTAGAGCCTATGCAGGCTGAACTACACCCAACTGATCCTGGCTTGAATAACCATAGCCCAAAAGCCTCTGCTCAGACTGAACTTCTGCACATCGGTAATGATTCAGATCTATCGACACCAGCGGGACAATTACACCTGCTATCCTGGAATATAATGGGATGGACAAATAAGTTTCATGACGCAGATTTTGCAATTTATCTGCAACAATTCAAAATTATTTGTTTGCAGGAGACATGGGCCACTGAAACTAACCTACCTTCCCTTCATGGTTTCAGAGCACATTCAGTTCCAGCAGTGAAAACAAGCTCAAAAGGCCGTGGTAGCGGGGGCCTTACCATATTTATCTCAGTAGATCTGCACGTGGACATTCAACCTTTGGATAGCTCCATCCCACAATATATACAGGCCCTCCTCATTAAGAGCACGTATTTTGGTTATGTAATCTGTATAAATGTCTATTTTCCACCTAGATTATCAAAAAAAAAAATGGAAGTAGCTTCCAGGTCGAGCCACAAAGCTCTTCCAGTATTGCAAACATTTTAAAAAAACTGATACTAAAAAGTAACAATGCATTGTGACTCTGAAAATGAGAAAGATAAACCAGGGACAAACACACATGTCCGCCAGAGGATGCTATGCAACCCCACTTCTTCACCATTGTCTCAGAAATGCCCATTTTTCTGTCAAGAAAGGCTGAACTGCTTCTCCAGGAAAGTCTCAGGAGTGGCAATTCAATTATTCAGGATTCTTCTGAGCTGTTTATATAAACAAATATTTAAAATCAGAATTGAACTTCCAGTCACTTCCAGGGCATTTTTTTCATTTTGTGGCAGGGGGATTTTTGGTGGTTTCCGATAGTCCCAGTTTCAGAAGGCTAGTCCCACGCCCATTGCCCATCCCAGCTATAAACATTCATAGGACCTTTAGCTTGAATACAGCTAAAGTAGATTACAAACTTCATGGCATATCATTAATACTCAGTAGGTCAAAATTCATTAATATATATGTACCAGCACTTTCCATTAACCTTTCCTTATCCGTTTTCACGGTAATGCCTTCAAGAAGGGATTCCATGACATCTTCTGGAAAGATCACCATATGGATTCCCAAAAACTGCTGAAGATTGACAGTCAAGTTGTTGAGGAAACTGAGCACCAGTATCTCATCTTGAAAACTAGTCCAAAGGTTAGAAAGTGTAATAAAAATAGGCTATAAAAACAAAGATAAATAGTAAAGTTGGTTTTAATTATATCAAAATTTGTATCTACTATTTTATATGTAAACTGGGTAAAATAAACCAACACAGAATATAACGGAATATAACAGATGATTTATAATATTTAATTAATTTCAAATTTTAATTTAAAATTTGTTAAATAATTTAAATAAATATTAAATACCTTTCTTTCTCTATTCTAAGTGCCTATAATTTATTCATCAGTCAAATGAGAAGAATATTGCAATAAAATATTAATAATACTGTTAAAGAAAAAGCAGGCCTGATCTATAATTTGTGTAACTGGGATGATACTCTCAAAGTATTCTAACTACAATATTTATAGTCTCGTTTTTAATACATACACTTTGAAGTCAGAGATTGTATTGTATTTTCTACCATAGTGCGATACATTCCTTCAGACAGAGGGCAGAGAGAACAGTAATGCTATAAAGTTAAGCTAGCATGGTATAGTAGTTTGAGCATTGGACTATGACTCTGGAGACCAGGGTTAGAGTACCTGCAGCCAGTTACCGAAATCCACTGGGTGACTGTGTCAGCCTCAGGCAAGAGCAAAGACAATCTCCTCTGAAAAATCTTGCCAAGAAAACCTTGTGATGTATGCAACTTCAGGTTGCCCCTCATCTTATGATGACCCCACGTATTTTTCACAGGGTTTTGTTGAACAAGGAACTAATACACTGGTATTAGTTAGTCTCCTGTCCTAGTACTAACCAGGGCTAACCTTGGTAGGGTCACCATAAGTTGGAACTCCTTTGAAGGTATACTATACATAACAATAACGTTTTATATAAACTCTAAATTACATACTGAACCACTAAAAGATTTCTTTCAAGTGTAAAGTCTCAGGTTCAAACCAGAATAAATGACAGGAGATCCGTGTTTGAACTTTTTAAAAGGGCTAAACAGAGCTTTTCCATCAGGCAAGATTATTACTGCCCCCAAATCATTTCTGTCTCGGCATGTTTTCCCTCTCACAAAGCTCCTTAGTCCACCTATATGTAAAATAGTACCCTATAGATGTTTCCTTATTTTGCTCTGCCTAATAAACAGCAGCTCCTTGAGAGGAATCAGATTTAGGAAACAGACTTGCAGGGAGGTGGGGAGAGCATGTATAATTAACTCTGTTCCTCAGTATTGCATTGCAAATCCAGATCATGTGCTTCCACTCCTGCATTTAATCTTCAGGAGACTGCAGGTGTATACTGTAGAATTAATGTAGTTTGACCCTACTTTAACTGCCATGGCTCAATGCTAGGAAATAATAGAAGTTGTAGGTTTATAACAGTGGTTCCCAACCTTTGGGCCTCCAGGTTTTTTGGACTCCAACTCCCACAAATTGTATCAGCTGGTAAGATGGCTGGGATTTCTGGGAGTTGAAGTCCAAAACACCTGGAGGCTCAAAGATTGGGGAACCACTGGGTCTTTAGACTTCTCTGCTGTTGCCATGATTCCCTAGCATTGAGCCATGGCAGTTAAAGTGCGGTCAAACTGCACTAATTCTGTAGTGTACCTGCACTGTGAATCAGAGGTGGTCATCTCAGCAACTTATGCTCTAAAAGGAAAAGTCAAAAGTCCATTTTTGACCATACAGTTTTGAGCAGGGCAGGGGGGAGATGAAGAAGTATGGTAATCTGGTGTTCCTTTAAATCGAGGAAGGAGAATGGATCATCTTCCAGCTGACATTGGACTACAACTTGTATCCTCTCACCATCTGGTACACTGGCTAGGACTGTACCCAATGGTACCAGAGGGCTACATGCTCTCCATTTCAGCTTTAAATAAGGCACACAGTAACATGCTTAAACTTGTTCTGTGTTTCAAAAATTTCAGAAGAATCACAATTTTAGAAAGATAAGTCCAAAATTCCCTTGAACTAAATGAAAAGGCAAGGATCCAATTTTCTCTCCTGAACAACAGAGAAGAGGTCTGTGCTGTAATCTTTGAAGAATTTCTGTGAAAAGCCATCTGCAGAAAACTAAACAAGCCCTTACTTACCTTTAATAAATTAACATACTGCCCTAAATCCAAATATATACTGTAACAAAAGTATCGATGGAACGTACAGAAATTTTGATTTGCTCAATTTCCGGTAATCCAGTGAGTCTACTTCAGTGAGGACTAACAAATGGATTTAGGTCCCCAGAGCGTGCCTCCATTGATGGTGTTGGACTGCAACTCCCAGAAGCTGTGCGCAGTGGTGAGGAATGCTGGGAGATACAATTGAACAACCTCTCGACCGTTACACAATCCCCACCTCTAATTTAAGTTTTGTGACTGAATTAAAAGCATACTTGAAATTCAGAAACTCACATAAACAAGTGATGTAGGTACAGCTGTCTTTGCCCGAACAATGGTTTTGAGCTCTTCCATCTGGGCTTCAAATTGCTTGTGCATCATATCAACTTCTTGTGCACATGTTATCACATCAGACTGGAAACACAAGATATATAAGATAAGTTTCATCACCAGAACAAAACTCATCATGGGTTGACTCTCTTATAAAGACCTCACTCTTTGGATTGCTTTACTAATAGTAATACCATTCCAACCTTTTAGTACCACAACATTAGTTATAAAGCTTACTTATTCTGCATGGTTAATCTAGAATAAAATCTCTCTGCATTTAGTGGGATTTCATCACAAATAAATATGCAGAAGATTGAATATCTAAAGTAAGGTGAACTAGGTTGATTTTGTGAACTGTTGATTCAATGATCTTCAGGCAAAGGCACAAAAAAAATAAGATATGATTTCCAGTTGAGATGATGCTGTGAGTAGTAGAGTTGTCTAAGTTTTGATAGTTGTTTTACCTTGTTTTATCTTCTAAGCATCCCATTTGTTTTAATTAAACCCTTGACCCCCACTGAGTGCTAACTAGTTAGGCTTTTCTTAGTCAATATAAATAATTTAAGGCAATCTATGAAATGCAGAACAGATTCTTACCAGAATAACACAGAGAAAAGCCTCATGTTGCCTCACATTGTACAGTACTTCTTTTAACATCGTCATCCTTAGTTCCATCTCAGCATGTTGACTGTGGTGCATCATTTCAATCAAGGCTGTATAGCGATAAGCCAACCCCTGAGAAGCATGTAACTCTAGGTCTATATGATGGCTGGCGGCGGGGACAGCCTCCTCAAGAATACCTGGCACTGGAGACACAGAGTTGATTTGAAACATACAGATATGATACACAGGTTGTTATTTAAAAGTTCAGGGTCTATTTTAGTAACTGGACAAATACACTTCCCACATATTCTCCTAAATTATTAAGTCTGGGCTTCAGAAGACTGCAGGCAAACCCCTATCCTACATGCCAAGACTTTGGAAAGATCTATTTCTTCTCAGTCCATTTACATGCTTTGAATAGTGCCTCCTGAAGGTCAGGAGACCTTTTGAAGAAGAATTGAGCATGGCACAAAGAATTGCACATAGAAGGGTAAAAAATCACACAGCTTCTCTGCATGTACAAAAAGCCTTTAAGCATGCTCTCAGATATTGTTGGACCCTGGTTTTGGCCTATTTACCAATTAAAAGACCTGTTTTAGTCAGTCAACTTCATGTCCAATCGTCTAGTTTATAGATAATAAAACATTTCATGAAGACTGTTAAGCTGTTTGCTTTTCTGGACTCAATTTTTTTTATCAGACCTGAATATTCTTAACATATGGTATCTGAAAATGACTTAAATGTGTAATGTAGAAACACCATTAATATCTAATATTAGCTTCCTATATACCTACAGTCATCAATGCCTTCTCCTCCTTTTCCACAGTCCTTGTTGAATAATCGAATTCCTGTGACAATCATGGTAAGTTCCTTCAACTGCCGCTCTTTCTCCTTCTTACTGAGAGAGAGGAAAGCAGCAAGCTCAGTTTGAGGAAACACGCTCTGCAGGGCAGCTGGAAAATAATAAGTATGTCATTGTCATACAAAAAAGATAATACATTAAGTTAATAATTGTTTTAATAATTAAGTTACCCAAAAGTTAAATTTTGGAAGTTCTCCTGAGAAGAGATCAAACTTTCAAGTTTTTCTCCACCTTCACAGAAATTTTTCTGTTTGTCCGCATCAATATAAGTAGAGAGTGGATTACCAACATTATGTAGAAAGTACTAATTTAGCTGTAGAATCTACTTAGAACCAAAATAATTCAACATCCTTGTTGGCAACAAGTTTGAAAGGTCACACTGAGAGCAGAGAAAAAACTGACTGGTAAATGCTTCGACTCCACAATCTTATGATCTAGGCAGCTGTCAAGTGCTGTTGGAACTATTGCTTTGCTCTTGGCATAACTCTAATAGATTTAAGGAAGATATTTGATGTGTAGGTAATATGTTGGATAGCTGCTTACATCAGGACTCTTTGAAATGCAAAATTAGGGAGGGCTCTTATGATCTGTTCTCAGACTTATTTTGCCATCTGCAGCAACATCTGTATATTAGTGTTTTGAGTTTGTTTGTGATTTCAAAATGTACTTTGCACTGTTTTTAGACCTCTTGTCAGCTTCCTTGAACACCTCTGTGTGAGGCAAAAAGAGAGAATAGAAAAAGTTTTAATTTAAAAACAGATTTTAAAGCCACCAGCTGCTCATCAGCCTCTGCAATATTAGGGTGCGTGTTAATAAACGTCATAAGTTTTATTAACCTGTTGCTTCTCTAATGACCCTGATGTCTGTAGGGGATCCAAGGCCAGAGCGCAGCAGCACATAGCTGACAATCTTGCGATAAACACTTTCCAGCTCTTCTCGAGTACGAGCACGGTTATCTGTAATTTCTCTGCTTACGGGAGCAAGCCTGGACTCCAGAACACGATGCTGTTCATTAATTAATTCAACTAAAAAGAAACAAAGAACCATATCAAAGCAATTTGTGTCACTAGCCGATGTTTAAATCTGGCCTACATATTCTGCAGTTATACATCTACTGGAACATGGTCATACAGCCTGAAAATCTCACAGTAACCCAGTTGTTCTGATGCAAGGCAATTGCTCAAACATACAACAACACCCTTGTAGAATACTAAATTATAAAGATCTGCCTCTTATGCATTTAGATTCTCCGTGGTCTTCTCATTTTGAGAGATTAGGACTGCAATCGTAATGGAGTCTCTCAATAAACACAGTAAGGCTCACACCTGGGTAAAAGTATATAAATTGCACTGAGGAATTAGTAGTTTTACAGCCTTGGACATAATTGTACTGCCACGCATCACAGTCATACTCGGAAGAGCCACAAAAGCGATTACCTCTGTTTGTATAGTTCATATCAAAATAGACTTGCATCTTGATAGTGTCTAGGGATGGATTTCTCGTGTCAAGAAGTCTGTCAATGGAAAGCTGAAACAAAAAAACAAAAAAACCTGAAGTCATTATTTCAAGTCATTTATCCAAAATAACATTATTCTGGTACACACTGCAACTCTATTAACCTAAGAGTTTGCACACAGGAGAGAATCCTTTGTCTCAACAAATTCTGTTTTATTTAGAACACCAGTCAAGCATCTCTCACACCAGAATCGACTTGCAGTTTCTCAAGACTCAAAAAAAGCATCTGAAGAGCACTATTATAAAAATGATATACTGAGTTGTTATAATGTGTCTAAAAACATGTTGCTATAATGTAGTTTAACAAATACAAATTCAGCATGGCAGAATAAACCATACAATTAAGAGGTCTGAAATATGATAGGAACGAATAACCCAAAGTACCCATGCATCGGAATAGACTTGAATTTGATATACAATATGATGCAAAGTTACACAAATGTTGAAAAAAGTTACATAGCAGTTACAAATGGCGCCTTTCCTTTCTGAATAATGCCACTGCTGCTCTCAAAAGTCCCACAAGTTTGAGGTCAGCCAACTTTGTTCCCCACAGCAGCGAGGAGAGAACAACCAGTTGGAAGGAGATGGATACAAACGCGTACATTCATTAGCGAAGTCTGCCTGCTACTGACTGAAAGTGGTACTGCAGGCTTCAAATTGTTACACTGTATTCAAAATAGTTTAATTAATATGTTTTTAAAAGCTAAACAACCCCCATGTTTTGGCCCCTTCAGCACTCCCACCATCTTCCATGCCTGGGTTTCTGTCCTTTTTTAAGGCAGGAATTTTGACACGTGTCTACATTTCAGGGGTCTAATTGGTTTGAGGGAATGAGAATATAAAGTATGGTAATCTATTAATACATCTTGGTCTTAACATATACTAGCTTGTTCCTTTATTTTCCTATAACTTGTGGGATACCTTCAGTCTGACACCCAAAATCGATTTCACAAGCCTCCATCAAGACTCTCCTGTATAGTTTAATACAGCTTCTTCCTGTTTCCCCCCTTGAGTTGAATGCTCAAAAATAGAACATTTCAATTGCTCTGTTAAGCAATGAAAAGCTGCCATTCACTTAATGCTTTAATCTGTTGTCAGATCATTGGATGAATATTATCAAACAATCTTTTATAACATGTTCCAAAAGAAGGGATTACCTTAATAAGTTTCTGGACATCAGCTTTTGTAAGGGTCCTGTCCACGTTAAATCCATTCTTTGGATCCAACACAACAGCTTTCACCTATACATTGAAAAAAGATGTTTCCAGACTCATCTGTATAATTTGCAATTAAGTACATTTCAGTATTACACATAACTGCACAATAACATACTACTTCTGAATTCAAACTAACAGGAAAAAGGCCTAAGTACAAACTGTAAATACAGGCATACTCAACCCATGGATGCTCTTGGGCCTACTTTGAATTTTGAGCATGATGATAGTGCTCTTATAAATGGGTGCCAAGGAATGGGAACAATTACCATAATGGATACCCAGTTACAAAATACTAAGATGGGGCTAAGGCAAATTAATCTGTGAAATAACTAAATTAGAAAACAGAGGTGGCATCTTCAAATCACAAGACTATTCTACTGAATCTACAGTTCTCTGTTGCAGCTCCCATTTCATAAAAGGCAAACTCAAAGATAAATTAACCTGCACAAGAAAACGAGTAAAAACAAAGGTGGACACCTAAACATTCAAGAGCACACAAAGTACTCATTTCTTAGAGGTCAAACACATCATGTAGAGCAAATAAATCCAGCCCTTTGCAGTACACCATGATAATTTAATAAAAGTTGAAACTGTACAAACTGGGAATAACAGATCCTGGTCGATACTATGGGAGGTGCCCATAGGTAGTGAGGACTTCAGTTTTTAAGGGTAATTAAATATAATTCCATTGCTACAAAAAATAAACTGTAAAACAAAACTATGAAAAGTGGGGCTACTATGATGTACTATGCAGGAGAAATCCAGTATTATGCTTTATCCTGCTCTCAGGAAATTATCACAAAATACTATAAAGCGCTGTAATTCCAGTTTAACTGCTATGTCTGTCTCCTATGGAATCCTGGGGTTTGTGGTTTAGGGAAGGCCCTTTAAATGATCTGCTCCTGAGCCTCATTAAACTACAAACCGCAGAATTCCCCAGGAGGCAGCAATAACAGTTAAACTGGAATGACAACACTTTAACAGTATAGTTTGATGATCTCTTAAATTCTGGATTCTTTTAAAATCCCAGATTGTTTGGAAAGCTGTGACTGTTATCTCCAGACCCCCAAAATACTGTCCACATTAGCACCACATGAACAGGGGAAACATGAAAAAGGCATGCCCTTCCCAACATGAGCAGCAAAATACTAGAGCTCGTGCATTTACACAATATCAACAGGTAGTGTCTGGACTGCTCTTACTATGAATGCCACCAGAGTTTCAGATACGATTTGTCCCTTCATGGCACATTCTTGTCCTATTTCACGGATGATATTCTTGATGACGTTCTCTGCTTGAGCGTGAGCCATTCTGCACTCTTAAAAGGAGGATGGACATTTGTAAAAACACATCTGAATTTTCTTCACATTAGCTTTCACCAACAGTACTGTGGTTCCATAGTCATTTAAAGCCAAATAAGCCTTTAAGTTGTCAAAAAAGAAACGTAAAACCTAGTCAGGAGGGAGAGATAATTTATGGCTGTTTGCAAGGTTGATGCAGAAGGTTGCCTAAACCGCTTTTGTCTGATGTATGAAATCCATCTTATCCAGTGAACATGACTATAGTTGTGCTCTGACAATTTAATGGAAAGGACTACAGCTCAATGTTAGATCATCTGCATGACATGAAGAAAGTTTCAGGTTCAATCTCCAGGACTTTTACATAGTTCTGGCTCAAGAAAATTCCCATCAGAAACCTTAAGTGCAGTTAAATCAATGTGATTAGTTTTCTTCAACTCGGGTATGTCGAGAGTTGTAGTCCAACAAACTGAGAAAGATTGATTTGGATGATATGGCCTAAAGCTAAAGGTAAAGGTTTCCCTGACATTAAATCTAGTCGTGTCTGACTCTGAGGGGTGGTGCTCGTTTCCGCAGTCATAACAATGAAGCTGTACCTATTGAGCTAATCACAGAAGTTGGGCCTAACAGCAAGAGCTCACCCTGCTCTCTGGATTCAAACCGCCAACCTTTCGGTCAGCAAATTCAGCAGCTCAGCGGTTAAACTGCTGTACCACCAGGGGGCCCAGGATACGTATGTGAAGTTTGGCCCAATTCTATTGTTGGTGGGGTTCAGAATGCTCTTTGATTGTAGGTGCACTATAAATCCCAGCAACTGCAACATCCAAATGTCAAGGTCTATTTTCCCCAAACTCCACCAGTGTTCACATTTGGGCATATTTACTCATGCCAAGTTTGGTCCAGATCTATCATTGTTTGAGTCCACCGTGCTCTCTGGATAAAGGTGAACTACAACTCCAAAACTCAAGGTCAATGCCCACCAAACCCTTCCAGGATTTTCTGTTGGTCATGGGAGTTCTGTGTGCCAAGTTAGGTTCAATTCCATCATTAGTGGACTTCAGAATGCTCTTTGATTGTAGGTTAACTATAAATCCTAGCAACTACAACTCCCAAATGACAAAATCAATCTCCTCTCTGCAAACCCCACCAGTATTCAAATTTGGGCATATTGGTATTTGTGCCAAATTTGGTCCAGTGAATGAAAATACATCCTGTGTATCAGATATTTACATTACGATTCATAACAGTAGCAAAATTACAGTTATGAAATAGCAGTAAAAATAGTTTTATGGTTGGGGGGTCACTACAACATGAGGAACTGTATTAAGGGGTTGTGGCATTAGGAAGATTGAGAACCACTGGCCTAGTATAATTGTCTTTGGTTGTATACTAAAAGAGGAGATTTTGCTCTAAAGGGTTTTTTTGGTTCTTCTCTAAAAGGTTATATTCTCTAATATAAGTTATGTTCTCTAATAATTACAAACCCCAGGGTGACTCCATGGTACCTGAAGGGGAATTATAGGCTGGATCTACACTGCCATATAYTCCAGTTTCTAGACCAGGCCTGGACAAACTCCGGCCCTCCCTCCAGGTGTTTTGGACTTCAACTCCCACAATTCCTGACAGYRGCTACAGGGGAAGGGAAAAGGAAAAGGGCCCGAGGCTGTTAGGAATTCCGGGAGTTGGAGTCCAAAACACCTGGAGGGAGGGCCGGAGTTTGCCCGGGCCTGGTGTAGATGCACCCAAAGACACGATGGTCCTGATGTAACTGAGAACTGCCTTACTCCGCGGGTCAATGCGGTGGAGTCCTGGAGATGTGGTTGAGTGAAGCCCCACTACTCTTGCGCTTGTCAAACGACGACTCCCCCGGCCTCTCCTGAGGCGTGAGCGGGGTTTGACTGGCTCTGTCCTGCGCCGCAGTCCCCAGCTCTTCCTTTCTTCCGCGACCTCCCGCTTCTCAGGCAAGGCCTGGTCGCTCTCCGCGGGAAGGCCGCGTTGCCATGGAGACGGCGGCCGCTCCTCCAAGCGCCCCCCCCCCTTTGCAGGCCTGAAGAACGCCCAAGGCTGGCTTTGGACTTCTCACACACTCTCCCAACCTCAAACCCTACAGGTTTTTGGGTTGGAGAGCAATAATACACCTGAACTTAGCCTTCCTTGGGATGTCATGCCTCCCTCTTTAAGTGTCTCAACAGGTTTCAAAAGCACTGAGAACTGACTGGTTCAAAGCTGAGAGAGTGTGACTTGTCCAAAGACACTCCATGATGGAGGAGTAGGGATTTGGACTTCAGACTTTTCTCCTCACCAACATATTTCAAAACATTGAGCCCCCTTCCACACAGCTGAATAAAATCCCACATTGAACTGGAATATATGGCAGTGTGGACTCAGATAACCCAGTTGAAAACAGATATTGTGGGATTTTCTGCCATGTTGTTCTGGGTTATATGGCTTTGTGGAAGGGCTCTCAGAGCGAGTTATCTTAAGCATCGGAACCTGGTTTCTTGAAATTACAGTTCAAAAACCAAAGACATAGTTGTCTTCAGAAGACTACTTTTAAAAATGAATAACAACGTTAATAATAACAACTTTGTATTGTCGAAGGCTTTCATGGCTGGAATCACTGGGTGGTTGTAGGTTTTGGGGCTATATGGCCATGTTCTAGAAGCATTCTCTCCTGACATTTCACCTGCATCTGTGGCAGACATCCTCAGAGGTTGTGAGGTCTAAGCAAAAGAGCTGGCATTGTCTGTAGATACTTCCATGGTCATGTGGCCAGCATGACTGCATGGAGCACCGTTACCTTCCCACAGAAGCGAGGCCTGACAACCTCTGAAGATACCTGCCATAGACGCAGGTGAAACGTCAGGAGAGAATGCTCCTAGAACATGACCATATAGCCCAAAAAACTACAACAAACCAGTGATTCCGGCTATGAAAGCCTTCGACAATACAAAGTTGTTATTATTAACGTTGTTATTCATTTTTAAAAGTAGTCTTCTGAAGACAACTATAGCCTTGGTTTTTGAACTGTAATTTTGAGAAACCAGGTTCTGATGCTATAAATACAGTAAATAAATAAATAAATAGTTATAACAAGATGGGTGCATCTACACTGTAAATTAATGCAATTTGATACCAGTTTGGGTGCCAGGGCTCAATGCTCTGGAATTCTTGGATTTGGAATTTGGTGAGACACCAGCACACATAGGTTATTTCTTATGATCACCTCTATTAAAACTGGTTTCACAGGTTTTTGAAATATGGAAACCTTCCATATTTTTAACAGAACTCATCTATGTACACAACAAAGGCAGCCGCCTCTCTTTCAAACCACTTTCAGTTGTATAAAGAAACTGTTCCTGTCATACTCGCAGAATGGTGATAGTGGGGGGACTCCAGATAACAGAAGGAACATAATCATACATTGAGTAGTGAGAGAAAATGATTTTAATTCCCCCCTGCACTACGTCTGGATGTTCACATCAAACAGACAGATCCTCAGAGAGCCTCCTTCGCACATGTTGTCCCTTGAGTCAGGTCTACAAAATCTGATTCTGAGAATGGGCATATTTTTCTGAATGGCAAGATAAAATCTGCTTGTCCTGGAGCAAGCTGGGGAAATGTGAGGTTGATATATTTCTGAAATGCTTCTCTTGTTTCCAGGATTTCGGCTTCCAGGCTATCTTTCCAAGATGTCATGTTTTCCAGTTGCTGATGAAGAGACATGATCTCACTGTCTTTTTTGTTGACCTCGTTGGTCACCTCTTCAACCTGAGCTTCACGAATACTCTCAGCTGTCTGGAGCAATCTCTCAGTTTCTTCCTTAAACTCTTTTTGGGAGATTGACAGTGCCATCTCCAGCTCATGTTTTTTCTCCAAGGCTAACTCTTTCAGATTCCTCTCATAAATTTCATGAGCAATCGCCCCAGCTTGTTCAAGTTGTTCCTGATACTTCCTAGAGGAGTGAAACGAACAAGAATACAATAGGTTTGACATAATTTTTATTAGCCGCAGTTTCAAAGTGAATCTTCCGCAAATTGTTTAGATGTTACAATTACAACCAAAATTAAATTATTCAGAACATATAGAGGAACTTTAAAAAGTGGAGTAATATGTTGCTGATTTTAGCTGACTTGAGTCCCTATATTGGGAGAAAGTTAGTATAAAAATACACATTAAAATTAAATAAAGTATCAAGAGAATTATCTTGAAAAAAGAAATCACAACCAGATTCTGCCCAAGAGCACTAGATTTCACATTGAGTCACACTTACCTGGAAGATAGCAATACCAAAAACAGTGGAACTTACTTCTAAGTAAATAAGCATCTCTACTTATTTTTGGCTTCAGATTTATACATATACACACAAGAAATATAATTACAGGCGTAAGACATGAGGGAATAATAAAAATATTAAAAAATATAACATCTATTTATTTGGGCCAAATTATCTCTATATTTTAAAATACAGTGATTTGCTTTACATGGCATATTTTGGCTTGGTTTTTATTCCGCTGTTGTCTTTGCTCACAGCAGATTTCAAAAGTGTTCGAAATAATATATGCACACTTTACAAAACTTTCCATAGCAGCAATTTTCAAGATATTATCATGTTAACCTGCTTGAGAATGGAAGAAATTAAAGTGGGTGGATGGGTTTCTGATAAAGTAGACCCCCCTCCCCCCCAATATTTTCTTTCTGTTATTTTCTCTCCCTGAATGATTTAATACCTTGGAGGTGTTTACGGACAATGCTGGCACTTTGGCTTAGAAATGGAGATGAGCACCAAACCCCAGAGTCAGACACGACTGGACTTAATGTCAGGGGAAAACCTTTACCTTTAGCTAGAGACAGTGAGCTGGGTCCTGAGATGTCCCTTCCACAGAGTAAGGGACTCTTCTACTGGCAGAGACGTCTCGTCCAACTTAGCCCAAGATATGATGAAAGAGAACAGGACCACTTGCATAAGGCTTTAAGCAACTGCTTGCAAAAAGTCTTATACAACATCTCAAGAAGAAATACATCAAAAGGTCTTCCACAGGATTGGGTAAGCTCTAGGGGTCCAGCATCTACCATGATCTGTGACACCCATGCAAAGAAAACTGGCAGTGACCAAAAGTCTACTTCCAGTTTCACAAAATCCTTTGTACACCTTATTTTGAAATGAGAGCTGCAGCTCCTGGAAGCTTCAAGGAATAGCAATTATCTCTCTTTTCTTTTAAACATTTTTCTTAGGCAGTGGTCTTCTGGGGATGGGACTCAAATAGCACATGATTCCCAATCCTGATGTTGTACAATCACTTGCACAAGAACTGTAGCACAAGGTATTATGCCCAGTGGTACATAATACCTCTGCTAGCTTTTTCACAATAGGTTACTGTCAAAATTACTTCTACTTGCACATTTCTCAATCAAACCCACAGGTCAGGTTCAGCTTGTTTCCGGCCTCTTAAAGGATACTATGAAATTGTTAAAATCTTTACTTTTTTTGTGCGGCAAGGATTCCAGCTATTTTCTGCCTCTCCTCCTGTCTTACTTCAGCTGTAGCGGCTGCCTTGTCCAGATTGAACTGCTTTATGAGCCGGTGAAGTTTGTGAGTCATCCGCTGCTCCGCGGCTTCCGATTCCCTCTTCAACTCCACTTCCAAGTGATGCAGCATTTCAATCTGTGTATTCTTCACAGCTTCCTTAAACAACATGAAATCATTTATTTTAAAAGCAGAACAAGATGTAGTTTCCCTTCTTCTCACCTGACTAAATAAAAGAAGGCTAGAAAGATGCTCAAATGGTGGCATCTGAAACAGGCACACAATTCATTACGCATACACACTGTATCAGGGAGAAAAGTTTTTGTATAGCTTTTACCCTGATGTGCTAGTTTCCCATACATGGATTTTTGAGAATGCTCAAATGCAATTTTCTCAACTAAACATTCGGCAAAAACTATTCTGTATGTATAGGCTAGTTTCCTTCCCTTAATAGCATAGATGTATTTTCCATAGACGGAGCTTTTTCTGGCTCTCCCTTCCAGGTATGATCTGTTTATAATGGTTAGATGATCCTTGAGAATGGTGTGGGAATATATTTGGGGATAGGCTAGTGTAGATAAAGGGGCATTCTAGCAGCACTCCTAATTCAATGGTAATAGTTACTTAGGATGCAGAGACTCTCCCTTCTGAGTACCTTCGGGGAGAATAGAGTGGGTTATAAATATATTATTATTATTATTATTATTATTATTATTCACTAATCAAAATAGTTTATTACATACATGCCCAAGGCCATGACAAAAAACACCACATGTGCACAACAGTACCTTCGGAGCAACAGGCACGAACAATGCTGAACAGAAATCATGTATTACTTTACTCTTTATTATTATTATTATTATTATTATTATTATTATTATTCTCAATTTGTTGTTATTATTATTACATTTATTATTTTACTATTTTATTACATTTATTATTTTACTCTATTTATTATTATTATTAGGTAAATGTAAAGGTTTTCCCCTGACATTAGGTTCAGTAGTGTCTGACTCTGGGGGTTGGTGATCATCTCCGTTTCTAAGCGGAAGAGCCAGCATTGTCAGTAGACACCTCCAAGGTCATGTGGCCGGCATAACTGCATGGAGGGCTGTTACCTTCCCGCCGGAGCGGTACCTATTGATCTACTTGCATTTGCATGCTTTTGAACTGCTAGGTTGGCAGAAGCTGGGGCTAACAGTGGGAGCTCATGCCGCTCCCCGGATTCGAACCTGCTACTTTTCGGTAAGCAAGTTCAGCATCTCAGTGGTTTAACTCATTGCACCACCAGGGGCTTCTTTTATTATTATTAATACATTTACATTATTTTACTCTATTATTTATTATTTCTCTTTTACAAATAAGTTAGGGATGAAAATAAAATTACTACTGACTTCCAATGCTTGTTCATCTTTGATTCTAAGATCTTCAAGGTCTTTCTTGTGCAGTGCATCAGCACGATTGAGAGCATCTTCCACTGCATCCTCTTTTTCTGTCTCAGCCTACAAAAGCAAGCATGAACAGACCCAATTAGCCAATAAGTAAGCTATGCTTATGAAATTTTGTTCCACAGATGTGGAAGAGAAGGTGAACTTTTTCAAATATGTCAATAACCAAATCTGCAAAAGTCAAGACTGCAAAAGTGGAGGGATGACTGTAGTTCTCACAAATCTCACATATATAAGATAGGCTTCCTCCTTCTCACCCCAAAATATTTAGTAATGCCATGCTTTTATAACAATTAATCAACTTGCATGTGCCCAAGAAGTCCTGTGGTCAAGTTCTCTTTGCAAACCTAGCAATGGGATCTCTGCATGGCCTAAGGCTCCAGTTTTAAGCATTGATGAAAGTCTGGTTGATTTAAATAGTTGTCCAAGCAAAAATTTACAAAATTGCATCATAAGCATTTAACTACAATTTGTTTGTCATGGCATACATATGTATCTACAGGACCATTTCCTTTTCTAAATGGCTGATCACAGTAGTTTTCTCCAGGGATAACTAATGACTTTTTCATCCTTTTTTAAACTGCTGTATGTGCATTACATAAATGAACCACATATACTTATTTTTTTCCTTATAGAGATTGCTTACTTGCATTTTTTAAAAAATTGAGGTTGCTGTTATGTTGGAGAATAAGAAAGATGGGCAAATTTCATTCTGAATATAGATGCACTGAATTGCAAGTAAATGCTTTTTTACATTAAATATTTGTGCCCCATCATTTAAGACATTCCTCACAAAGCAACTTTAAAAATAGACATTAAATCTATCAAAGCAAAATATACAATAACATGTATAGAAGAAATCCATGATACCCATAGTTACATAGAGATTGTATTCCCGTAAGACATTTAATTTCTTCTTTATAATGCACTAACACATATTCAAAGAAGGACCCACAAACTGATTAGTGTCATGACAGCATAGGGTTTTTACCTGAAGCAGGAGACGTTTTCGTACTTTTTCAATTCGTTTTTCAATTTCGATTTCTCTTCTTTCTGCTTCCTCTTGCTTAAGGTCAGCTCCAAGTTCTGTACAGGTCAAGAAACAATTGAAGAATACTATTCTACAGGAATATCCCATTGTAATATGGCATTTGTTATTTTGTTTTATTATCCCACAGGTTACAGATTTTTTTTCATGTCAGAAGCGACTTGAGAAACTGCAAGTTGCTTCTGGTGTGAGAGAATTGGCTGTCTGCAAGGACGTTGCCCAGGGGACACCCAGATGTTTTGATGTTTTAACATCCTTGAGGAAGGCTTTTGTCATGTCCCTGCATGGGGAGCTGGAGCTGACAGATTTTTTTTTTTGGTCGCGTCAGGAGCAACCGCTCCTGTTGTGAGAGAATTGGCCGTCTGCAAGGACGTTGCCCAAGGGACACCCGGATGTTTTGATGTTTTAACATCCTTGAGGGGGGCTTCTGTCATGTCCCTGCATGGGGAGCTGGAGCTGACAGATGGAGCTCATGCACACTCTCCCCGGATTCGAACCTCCAACCTGTCGGTCTTCAGTCCTGCTGGCACAAGTGTTTTGTTTTAACATTTAAGATGTTTCTCTAAAACAATTTAAAGCCATGCTTTTAAATGTAAATGTAAAGTCCAACCCTCCTGCTTCTTGGCAGGGGGTTGGACTGGATGGCCCATGAGGTCTCTTCCAACTCTTTGATTCTATGATTCTATGTAATGTAATGTAATGTAAACTTTAGGATTTGAATGCAAATGATGCACAATCATTTTAATGTCCATTTGTACACACACACACCTATATATGCTAATAGCTCTGTTAGCTATTGGACTACTTCAATTTTTGAAATTATAAATTCCCCAGATACCAGGTTAACACCAAAAAGAGATGAGATGCAAAGACCGACTTTAGTCTAAATTCAGCATTACAAGAGGAGATGTGCTCGTGCAACTTTTACTCTCATGACACAAAAATTTATTTGTTTTTAAAATGTTTATATTCATATTATTATATTATATGTTTCCACTTTGTTTTTAAATCCTCGTCTGGTATCATTAATAGCCGCCTTAAATTCCTCTGGGGAGAAAAGTGGGATAAAAATAAAGTAAATAAGTAATAAGTGATGCAACAGGCATTTCCTTCCCTTCACTACAATCCCATATATCTGCTATGGATCAGTGGTGTCACTTGTGTGTGTGTGTACCACATGGAGGACACCATCAGAGAGGGTGATACCAAATCAACTGTCCATAACATTTCATGCAGTGCTTCAGCAGAAATTTACTTTTTTAAATAAAAAATATCCTTGTAGTTTTGCAGTTTGTTAAATCCAAATTTAAAAATAACTCAAAAAGTTTTGTATAAGCCTAGATTACATGTACTGGATCAGTATACCTACAAGGCTAATTTACTTCCTGAAACTTCTAATGCGCAAGCACTGTGGTCAAACTGTATTATTTACTATCCAATTACAATGATACTTCGGATCATGTGGTTTCATTGGCACACACTGCATGTTGCTTCTAGTGTGAGAGAATTGGCCGTCTGCAGAGATGTTGCCCAGGAACGCCCAGACTTGTTAGCATCCAATGGGAGGCTTCTCTCATGTCCCCGCATGGGAAGCTGGAGTTGACAGACAGGAGCTCACCCCATCTCGTGGATTCCGACTGCAATTTCTCAAGTCGCATCTGACATGATAAAAAAAATCTGCACATGCTACCAGCATGATCTGTGATTTGCATTTTCTGCTGGATTTTTATATTGAGTTTGTCATTCAATGATAGATAGGAATTATGGTTTACAGCTAACTTTAGGAGGAATACATTACTCAAGATTCGGTATGATCTGATATGGGAATAGGTGCTTGGGAAGGATGACACCAACCCTAGTGTCACAGAGGTAACAAAGAATTGGGGAAGCTGGGAAGGGGCATGGAGAGCTATGGGGGCGGGGAGAGAGAAGTTCAATTCACATTTGGAATCCATTTTACTGCTAGAAGGTGGCTATTAGATTCAGCTTCTTTTAGAACTGTTGGGGTTTACCCAAAAAACGCTGTCATGGTTCTGTATATCCATACTGTAACCCAGGGATGAGGAACCTATAGTCCTTTAGATGTAGAACTTTCATTGGGCTAAATAAGACTGATGGCAGTTAAGAGTCTAATATCTGGAGGATGAGAGGTCCCCACTGTGTGTCCTACTCTGGTACCATCAATGTGATGTATTCTTACATGAAGGTGATTGAGAGCATTGTCAAACATAGCATTGTCTAAACAAAATTTACATAACTGTTCTTGTTGCATGCCTTTGAGTCATTTCTGACCCGTAGCAAACCTAATGAACCTATCACTGAGTTTTCTTGGTAATATTTGTTCAGAGGAAGGCTTGCCATTAACTTCCTCTGAGGATGAGTGTGACTAGCCCAGTCATGGGCAAACTTTGGCCCTCCAGGTGTTTTGGACTTCAACTCCCATAATTCCTAACAGTCGGTAGGCTGTTAGGAATTGTGGGAGCTGAAGTCCAAAACACCCAGAGAACCGAAGTTTGTCCATGCTTGGACTAGCCCAGAGGGTTTCATGGCCAAGTGGGGATGAGAACCATGCACTTCAGAGTTGCAGTCACTTAGTTCTTTACTTCCTATTCCTTGAAAGTAACTGAAGTGTTGAAGAATACTAACTGCAGGCCCATGGTTCAAAATACTCTCTCCTCCTGTTCCCCGCATTGATACCTCTACTCTCATCACACAATTTGAGGCAGAAGCAGACATCAACACATTAAGTGTGTAATACTCTTTCTCTCCCCTTTAGTGAAGCCACTTATCTCTGAAATTATGCCCCACGCTTATATCACAAAGGGAGCAGTTTCATGAATGAATAAATGAATATATATAGCATTGCAGCAATTAGTAAATGCATTGCAACAATTGAAGTTCCATTCATAATATGGTTACACCTTCCTAATTAGAATTAATATATAGCTTTTGCATTCCAGCAATTAGTAAATCATGGAAGGTATTTAAATGCTAGAGACATGTATGTTGCTGGTTGTGCAGGATAGCAGAGCAACTTACCCAGTATATCTTTGTGTGTATAATACCGAGTTTTGAAAGGTTTATATTCCCTAATCCGATCAAAGGCCTCTGGTGTAGGAGGTGGTGGGATTAGTTTGGAACAAACTGCACAGCAAACAAAGGTGTCGAAATCTGGATTCCTGATCATGATGGTATTCAGTTGGTTTTCTGCTCCCCAGGTAATGAAACGTTGGCACGGTGGACTAATTTGAGAAGCGAAACCTTAGTTGTTGTAAGCAAAGCTGAGTTAAACTGGTCTTTTCTTATAATGTGTGCATCTCAGTGGAAACAAGGGGATTTCAGCATCGTTTGGTGAGATGGCATCTTCAAGGGGCTGCTTGCTTCTCCCACAGCTCTGGTGTTAAGGAGCTCAGCCTGTCACTTGGCCATCAGAAAAACAGAGGCTCCCACTAAGTAACTGTTGCTAGGCAAATTAAGCTTGAATCACAAAAGCATCTGCAACACTAGTCAGCATGAAGCAGAAGCTCAGGACAACTAAGTTGAAAACTTTTAAAAGACTTATCTGCATCTCCGAAGCCTTTTATATGGCTTACCTAGCTAAGTATCTCAAATGTATGAAATTTTCTTTAAATAAGGTGTGCCTTGGCTGATCACCTGACTTGATACACTGCTTAAGATGTACTTACTCTTTAAAAAACAGCTGTATGTTTGGACCTGCTGATATCGAACTGATGTATACGTCTTGGTGAGCTCCCGCGGTTAACCCTAGCTTTTGCTAACCTAGCAGTTAGAAAACATAAACTGTGAGAAGATCAATAGGTACCGCCTTGGCGGGAAGGTAAAAGGCACCCATGCAGCCATGCCGGCAAAACACAACCAAAGGGTGTCTACGGGCAACAGACTCCTCGGCATGGAAATGGAACAAGAGCACCTCCCCATGGCCAGAGTTGAGCACCGCCTCCAGATACCGGAGACGAAAAGGGAAAACTTTGCCTTTGTTTGTGCATTGTATGTCATTGTTGTTACTCTTTAAAAGGCATTGAATGCTTGCCTATATATGTGTAATCCGCTCTGAGTCCCCTCGTAGAGATAGAGCGGAATAGAAATAACATGTATTATTATTAATTGAATGCTAACTGTTTACTTTGGGCTTTGTTCCTATGTTCTTTCCTTGTTCCCATAATTCAATCAACTTATCCCTAAAAGTTGAAATAAATAAAGAAAAATAGATATATAACATTTTTTGCTTATATATGCTTCCATTGAGCAAAGCGCTAATAATTTATGACCAAAACAGTGTAATCAATTAAAGGGAGAAACTACAATGTTTCTTCAGTTGGTGAAAGGACACCAAAATTACTGGTCCAACATTTTTCATAGCAATGGTGCACTTTCTTTCATAACAGGATGGACATTATTACAGTCCTTAGTCAATAGTCCAGGCTTTTATTTCGAGTATATAAAAACAATAGTATTTCATGTTGTTGATTTAGTTGGATTACATTTTTATAAGAAACACCCATTATTGCACACAAAACTTATTGCACAGATTCTCCCACAGAGAATCCAAAGTCACACTTCAGAATATGTAGACATACTCCATTTTTTGCCTCCTTACATACTGATAAGTACAGACTACACATTGGTTCTCAGTTCATTCAATCCCATTTAGAAGTCTTCCGCTTCATTTGTCTGTTTCCCTCGCTGTCAATGGCTTCATAAAGATCCTTTTTATTCTCTTGCTGAGCATGCAGGTATCCAATATAGGCCACACAGAGAGTAAGAGTTACGAGCCCAAAGGCCATAACTGTTTTGTTCTGTGAAAACAAATGAACAAAAATACATGATGCATTTTTAAATCAAAAAATATTTCACTCAACTCATGTCATATACAGAACATTCCTACCTGTCAAATTATGTTAAATAAATAATTCCATATATCAAGTTTTTCTTTTATTTTCTTATTTGCCTTCATTTCAATGAGGAAAAAATTAATAATCAGAATCAGACTGAACTCTTAAAGAGATACATGCTTTCCAGAACCAGTGAATTCTGTGGGATTTATTTTTGAGCAGACAAATCTCAGATTCCATGGTAAATCGTGGAATCACTTTAAAATTAGCTGCTAACATCACTAGTACAAAAAAAATTAATACAAAATTAATCAACTGCTTTGTGAGGTGTGGCCAGCAGTACATATATTCTGCATTTATGTCAATATATATCCTATGGTTGAGAGACCAGTTTATAGACTGGATGGAAGATTTTTAAACTGTACTAAGCTAATTGACTATTTAAATACGTTTTCACATGGATGTGGCCTCTTTTATTCAATATATACCTTAATTAATTAATCAATTAATTACTGGTATATTGCTGAGCTCTTGGTAGCACATTAGTTTGAACTACTGAGCTACTGAACTTGCCAACCGAAAGGTCAGTGGTTTGAATCCAGGGAGCTTGTTGAGCTCCAACTGTTAGCCCCAGCTTCTGCCAACCTAGTAGTTCGAAAATATGCAAATGTGAGTAGATTAAAAGGTACTGCTCCGTTGGGAAGGTAACAGCGCTACACGCAGTCATGCTGGCCACATGACCTAGAAGGTGTCTACGGACAGCACTGGCTGTTCGGCTTAGAAATGGAGGTGAGCACCAACCCCATAGTCGGACACGACTGGACTTAACATCAAGGGGAAACCTTTATCTTTAAACTAATTGACTGTTTAAATACATTTTCACATTGATGTGGCCTCTTTTATCCACCATATACTTTAAGTAATTACTTAATAAATTAATTACAGATATGTCTCGGTTAATGAAGTAGGTGTGTCCCTGGCCATGAGTTCTTTAAAAGAAAATATGGTACCAAATGCAGAAATAAGGAAAGGCACATCTACGTGGCAGAATTAATGCAATTCAACACCACTTTAGCTGCCATGGCTCAGTGTTATAGGATCCTAGGAGTTTGTAGTTTACTGAAGCGTCCTCACTCTTTAGTAGAAAAGACTGAAAACCTTGTAAAACTACAGCTCCCAGGAATCCTTAGCATTGAGCCATGGTGGGTAAAGTGATGTGAAACTGTATTCATTCTACAGTGTAGCTGCACCTGTAGTCCAATGCACAAAACCACGCCAGCCCTCTAAAATATCTGTATATTTTACAAAATTGCATTATTTTTTCTCCTTCACAAAATATGTGTAACTTGTAAATAGGGTAATCCAAAAAGCAAAAACAAGCAACAGTGAAAGGCAATAGACAATATAAATGATATATTCTGACACGCAGAAACTATTACTATTTCTTTATAGGCTTCTTACAGGTTTAATGAAAAGCTCTGGGTTCACCGCTCTGAACAGAGTAGTAGTTCGGGCCCCTCGGAGGCCAGGAGTTCGGAAATCTTTCTCTTTGGGCGCTTCCTGTTGTAAATCTGGACTCTGGCGAGCTGGAGGCATCTCGCTGGAGCTTAAAATATTTGGATAAACAAACACAAAGTTAAAACTTTCCACTGGACAGGATGTTTGTGCACATATGCAAAATGTATACGCATTCAGACCAGCCCCAAGGCAAATTCTCCTGGTCGCTAGAGTTCAGCAACCCAAAGTTGCTGAAATTGCCTTTTCCAATGGCAGGTCCATCTTGCTCAGCTTCCTATGAGAGATACTCAACCTGTAATTTTGTCTTTCGTCTTCTAGAAGTGCATCTACGCTGTAAAATTAATGCAGTTGAACTCTCATGGCTCAATATTATGCAGTTTCGGGATGGGTAGTTTGGTAAGGCTCCAGCACTCAGCAAAGAAGGCGAAAGACCTTGCCAAACTACAAAAACCACAATTCCATAGCATGGAGCCAGAGGCGGTTAAAAGTGGTGCCAAACTGCATTAACTCTACAGTCCAGATGCGCCCTACGTTTGGGGACTTCCAACTCTAAACTTAGGTGCCAGATAAATAACATCAATGGAGCAGACAACAGCTATCGATCCATGACATAGTTATATGTCGACCTAAGTTTGGGGACTTCAATTCCCATCGAGGTACACCAGAGAAATGTTGGAGTCTCCCCCCCCCCCTCTTTCTTATTTATTTTTCTTTTTTGCTTAAGGCTATTTACACTTTGCACGCGCTCACTGTACCTGGAGGCAGGGCTACGCCATCTATTGTCAAGAGAAGGGGGTGCTGGGGAGTGGGTCATGCGCACAACATGCTGCTCGAGGCACCCCTACAGCCCCAATGGACCATTCCGAAGGCTCCCCCTCCTGGATCCCTGCAGCAGAAGGTAGAGTCCTCTTAGGCGCTTCTCCTAGAGCGCATGCGCTCTACCTCTCGCCCGCCTCCTAGCATTCGGAAGACTTTGAACAGCGCCTCGCATATTCTAGGAGGCGGTGCCCGGGGCGCTCCTAACCAATGGGAGGGCGTCCTGTCCGTTGAGTGACATGAGGAGGAAATTAAATGTTTGCAGGCTCCCTTCTCAGACATGCTTGGGACTAGGACTTTCTTGGATGTCTCTTTTTATTCTCCGTGGATTTGGGAATTTTAGATCAAGCCTTTTGTGCACCTAAAATATACATAATATTTTAAAATCCCAAATCAGAAAAGCAAAGGTGTCACTATTCTCAGCATTTTGGTTTTTTGGAGAAGAAATACTCAAAACTATTTTAAAAACTGTTGATGTCTTTTTGCACCTTCATACCTTTAAAGTGCTCTGCTTGACAGCCCTTGCTCTTCACGTTGGGCTGTTTTCTCCTAAGGTGCCTCCACACTGTAGAATTAATGCAGTTTAGCACCACTTTAACTCATGGCCCAGTATTATGAAATCCTGGGATTTATAGTTTGCTGAGGCCCTGGCCCTTCTGGGCAGAGAAGGCTGAAGACCTTATAAAACAACAACCTCTGAGGATGCCTGCCATAAATGCAGGTGAAATGTCAGGAGAGAATGCTTCTGGAACATGGCCATAGAGCCCGAAAAACTTACAGCAACCCACAACTTATAGTTGCTCTGAGTTTTCTGACTGTATGGCTATGTTCCAAAAGCATTCTCTCCTGATGTTGACACAAATATATACCTCACTTGCCTAGTTTCCAACAGACCCCTCAACCTTTGAGGATGCCTGCCATAGATGTGGGTGAAACATCAGGAGAGAATGCTTCTGGAACATGGCCATACAGCCTGGAAAACTCACAGCAACCCAGTAATTCTAGCCATGAAAGCCTTCAACAACACAACAACTAGATAACAAATTGACTCCCCCTTCCTTCCCTCCAGCATACAAATGGAAGACAATTTGTCATTTACTGTGAATGCAATTTGCATGCATTAGAGTTTCCAAATATCAGAGACTGGAAAATACCAAGGTAATCAAGGATTCAATGAGCCATCTGTGTTATGTATCAATATTTAACTCACTTGGCTGCAGGCACAGCTATTGTTGTGGCAACACTTTCTATAATGAATGTACACAGAGAAGAAGACCAAGAAATGGACTGAACTGGATCCCATTATTTGTCACTAGGAAAGCCAGCTGAAAATATAACAGTGTTGATATTATTATTCAGTACCTTATTATTATTATTATTATTATTATTATTATTATTATGGGAGGTAGTGGGGTGATATTTATATATGTGCATTGTGGGTGGCGTATAAATCTCCTCTGGAAAGAAAAAGCAGGGTATAAATAAACACAATAATAATTAATAGTAGTAGTTGTATCTCAGGTTTTTGCTGCAGGAGAGGATCTAGTGTCCATATCCACAACAGTCTCACAGCTGGTTTTTTTCAGTTTGCCATATTCACGRGCAATGTAGTACCGGAAGAGGACAATGAAGAAATAGTCATTACACTCTGCAGGCTCATCTCTGTACARTGCATCCTTTCTTYMAGTCTTCCGTCTTCAGGTGATGTCATGCTGGGAGTTACAACAACCAGTTTCTTTCTATTAGGTTGTTTTTTTTTAAGTGAATAAGAAAACAAAGGCCCCTTCTACACTGCTTTATACAATCCAGATTTTCTTTTTTGCAAATCCAGTTCAAAGCAGATTATCTGGGATCAGATCCTGGGATACAGGGCAGTGTAGATCCAGCCTCAGGGAAATCAGAGGGACTTGAATGAGGTTGGATCTATACTGCTCTATATCCCAGGATCTGATCATGACCTTGTTGGAAGTCATAACCTTTTGAAAAATGATGCCATAACCTCTTGGTAAAAAGCATCACCTGTTAGAGTCATAACCTTTTGGGAAAATTGTATTCATGCAAGGCAATTAAGTTTCTCAGCTGCTAAACTGATGTTCCGTAGATATGTCTTTGAACTGTTACGGACAAAGATATGCCAATGCACAAAAYACACACACATATATATACACACATACAGCAGAGTTTCAGAAGTGTTCTTTTTAGTTGCCCAAAAACATCTACTCTCCCTTAAAATATATTTGCCTTTAAATCATGCTCTCAAGAGACAAAAATAAGTTGACTTCTTGAAAAGTAACATAGTTGCTTTACTCACAAACTTCTTGTATTCAGCATATAGGTACTTTGCTTATCTGTTTAAATGTGTCAAAACTGGATCCTGTGCCAAGACATTAAACTCTAGGAGTAGTTTCATTCTGGTTGAAGAGAACAATACAGGCTGAGCATCCCTTATCCAGAAATCTGAAATATTCCAGAATCTGAAATTGTCCACTTGGGTGGCTGAGATAGTGATAACTTTGCTTTCAATGTACACACATTTTGTTTCATGTACAAAATTAATTAAAATATTGTACAAAATTGCTTTCAGGCAATGTACATAAATGAATTTCATGTTTATACTGGAGTTCCATCTCCAATATATTTTATTATGTATATAAATACAAATACAAGTATTTCAAAATCACAAACACACACACACACAACGGAGGCCCCTTCTACACTTCCATATAATCCAGATTATTAAAGCCGCTATCCACATTACTGGATTATATGAGTCTACACTATAATATAATCCAGTACAAAGCTGGATTGTTACATGGCAGTGACATTCAAAAGACTTCCAGTCTGAAGTATTTTGGATAAAGGATACTCAACCTGTACGAAGAAAAATGATTCATGTACATATATGCTCTTTCAATATTTCCAGTGAACAATTACCGGTACCTTGATCTTTGTTTGCAAAGGCAAGGACAAGCAATTCAATCCATGTGTTTTTAATAACCAGTGATAAAATGGAAACAGCCGGTGTTTGTTTCTGATAAGATCTTTAATTACAATATAAGCATTCATTATAATTGTTTTTTTACACCACCAACTTGCATATGTAAAGTTTATATATCAAAAGTCTCGATAACGTAGGCACAACAGGAAAATAGTAAATTCTTTTTTGATGGACCAGATACATACAATCAATTGGTCCTATTGAACTGACAACAGATATCTATCTATGGTATAGTTATAACCGGAAACCCTTTGTTTCCCTTTTACATTCATAGGTTGTCACTGTTTTTTAAACTAAACATGCTATTATCCTGAGCCCACTTATTTAGGATTGAGTTTGAATATATTCAGCAGGACTTGGGTAGACCTGTATGTGGTATAAGGTTACCAGATTTGTCTGACAGCAATATGGCAACACTTTCTGTTACCCATCCAAATCAAGAATGGCCAGTATATAAGAGACAGGCCCATATAAAGCCACCGTAAGAGGAGAATATGAGTTGAGTCTTGATGTAAGACTTACTCATATGCTACTCAATCTTTCGTAAAGTTGAGAGCTGGAAGAATAGGTGCTAACTGGAATCACAACAGATCAACACCTTTCTGAGAACATTTTGCTGAGTATTAAGTCTGTTGTGAGCATGGCAAATGCCAGCTGTGCTAACACCAGACCTAGAGTGCATTTACAGCATATAATTAATGCAGTCTGAACACTATTTGAACTGCCACGGCTCACTGCCATGGAATCATTGATGGGGAGATATTGGAAAAATAGATATTTATTTATGTATAAATTGTATGTACTTTACAAGCATTGAAATGTATAGAAAAATCAGGTTCTCTCTGTGTAAGAAAGCCAGCAAAACAGAGAAGGAATGTTGAAAGGGGGAGAAGAGGGCAACATGTTATCTATACATTCCAGATACAGAGACTGGTACCGAGCCCAGGCTATAGCTATGTAAGGACCCTCCTGACAAGTCAAAGTAGGTCCCTTGATTGATGGATGTAAGCTGTAAGCTGCTCTTTAGAAAGAAATACAGAGACATGCCTTTTGTATGTTGGAAGATGGAATTTGATATTTCTGTGATGCTAAAGTGACGCAGAGAATGATGTCAATGTATGTAGAAGCATGTTTCTTTGTTTGCCTGCAGATGAAGTGTATAAAAGGCAGTCAACACCTTTATCAGGCATTCTGGTTGCTTTTGGACACAGCTCCACTCCAGGCTCCCAGCTGGAAATAAAACCGTGCTTTTTCAGACCTCATGAACTCTCTTTGTCTCTTTTCCTCAAACCTTCTCCTTGCCACTTCATCATGAGAGTTGTCGTTTTACACAGGCCTCCACAGTAAGATATGGTCACAGCTATTTCCTCCCTGGTGAATCTGACGGTGTTTGTTCTTATTGTGTGTCTAACTTATCACTCTCACATTCATACATTGAAACATTAATGCTTTGCTCTGCATCAAAAGATCTCTTATGTATCAACATGGTACTGATATGAGACCATAGAATCATAGAGTTGGAAGAGACACACATGGGCCATCTAGTCCAACCCCCTTTCATGCAGGAAAAGCACAATCAAAATATCCATGACAGATGGCCATACAGCCTCTATTTAAAAGTCTCCAAAGAAAGAGCTCAGAGGAAAAGAGTTCCACTGCTCAACAGCTCTTACAGTCAGGAAGTTCTTCCTAATGTTCAGGTGGAATCTCCTTTCCTGTAATTAGAACCCCTGTAATTAGTCCTAGTTTCCAGAGCAGCAGAAAATGAGCCTGCTCCCTCTTCTTTATGGCACCCTTTCACATATTTATACAAGACTATCATGTCTCCTCTCATCCTTCTCTTCTGCAGGCTAAACATACCCAGCTCTTTAAGATACTCCTCATAGGGCCTGGCCCCCAGACCTTTTATCATTTTAGTTGCACTCTTCTGGACACCTTCCAGCTTGTCAATATCTCCTTTGAACTATGGTGCACAAAATTGGACAAAGTATTCCAGGTGAGGTCTGACCAAAACAGAATAGAGAGGCACCATGACTTCCCTTGATCTAGACACTATACTCCAACTGCAGCCCCAAATCCCATTGGTTTTTTAGCTGCTGCATACATTGTTGGCTCATGC